TTTGCATCATTTGCACCCCATTTAGCACCGGGGCAGCTGGGCTGCCAGATGTTTGTTATCTCCAAGCACAGGAGCAGCTGCTGCGGGTCCGGCATGGAGCCCAGCACCCTCTGCAGAGCCAGGGTGCTCCAGGGCACGTGCAGAGCTACACAAGTACCACTATGTCCTGCTTGGACACTAAAAAAGGGCTTCCTAAGGGTCTGTAATGTCACTGTAGAGTTTGAGCCTCGTGTTGGATGTACCACTCACAACGTGGGTGAAAAGCTCTTCCCTTACCCAGCTGCTCAACAAGACGGGCATAAACTGCATCGATCCTTCTCATGGTCTTCACCAAATCTTTCTTCCTGAACTTGATCTCTACTGTTCCTCCAGGCTCCAGAATGCCACCCCTGGAAAAGCAGAGGTTGTTAAAGCAGGGACCGGCCTGCAGGAGGCAAATAAATCCTGGGAGCTCCGTGAGGGAGAGTGACCTGCTCTCCTTGTCCGCGTAGAGCTCCACGTAGAGAGGGTTGATAGTGGGGTCGATGACCACCCAGGAGCCCCCGCGCAGCTCCGCGTGCGGCGGGATGTACACGAGGACGGGCTGCTTAAAATCCCTGAGGCTGTCGACTATGGAGGCGCCGAACTTCAGCACCTGGTCGTACATGTCTGCAGGGCAGGGGGGACTGAGCGCCCGGCGCTCCCACCGGGACCGGCGTGGGCCGGGCCGCGCGCGGTACCTTTCATGCCGCCGGAGAAGCCTCGCCAGTTGGCAAAGATCATCAGAGGGAGATGCTCCCGGTTGAAGTCCCGAATAGCTTGGGCAGTTTTAAAAGCCGAGTCTGGAAACCACACCTGCCCAGCCTGCTGGATTATCTGAAAAGAGGTGAGCAGGAGCACTCAAAAACTGGAAGAAAAGTTGACCAAACTCCGATCCTCGAAAAGGCTCAGGAACTGCAGAAGGATTATGGCAAGCAGCTGTTTCTCCTTCCTTCCTCCTGGGTGCTCTGGAGCCTGCTCACCCCAACGTACCTTGGCCGCCGAGTCGGGGTTGGCGGGGTCAGCGGGAATCGTCACCTCCACAGTGCGGGTCTCGACGGCGATGACGCCCACGGGGAGGCCACCGAGCCTGCGGCGAGGCAGGGACTCAGCAGCCGCCGTGGAGGCCGGTCCTCCCCCTTCCTCCTCACCCCGAGAGCAGCACTAGGGCCCGGCTGCGCTCCCAGGAGGGTCTCGGTGGTGCCCGTATCCCAGGAGAGGCGGCCGGGCGAGCACCGGCTGCTGCGCACGGAGCATCTCCGGGCCGCGGAGCTTGGGGCGTTCGCCCCGGTACCTCGCTCTGCCGACCACGACCGTCTGCGCCCAGGGCCGCATGATCTCCAGGAAACTGCCTTGGTCGAAGAAGCCGCTCTGCCAGGTGCCCTTGAGAGCTGCGGAGTGCGGAGAAGGGCCGGAGCGGGGAGCGTGGGACGGCGCCGTGCCCGGCCATCGCCACCGGCCGCGGAGGGCCGGGAGGATTTCACAGGCCCAGGGCAGAGCTGCTGCCGAGGTCTCGCGCTGCCCTCACTTACTCGGATGTGGTCGCCCTGCCAGCATCCATCTGGGGTCGTAGGGGACTTTGGAAGGGACAAAATCTATTTCTCTTTCGATGGGGTCACTTATGGCAGTGATGGGCACCGGGCTATGGTTATCCTGCAAGGAGACGGTTCCGAAGCGCAGCTCATGAGCCAGGTATCCCAGGGCCAGCCAGGGTTTACAGCCCACCTTCCACCCGCCCACCTTTGGCATGTAGGAAAGCCACTGCAGGATGGTGTAGACCCCCTCAAAGTCATCCGGGACGGTGACGTGGGAAACGCCGTTGTTGTGCATGATCTGCACACCTCCCAGCTGGTTGTTGGATGTGTAAACTTCACGCCCCAAAACCTAGTTGAAATTATTAATAGAAACATGTCACTACTAAAGCAGCAGCATTTTACCATTTTACGGTTCCCTCATCACCAAAATGAGGCCGGTTGAGCTTCTCCTGCAGGCGCTCCAGCCCAGGAAGCCATGCAGAGTAACCACCACCTTCTCCCATGGGACTGGAAGTGGCAGACGGGATAGATTGGGGAAGACCCCATGGCTGGAGCACGCGTTACCTTATTGAGAGCTGTGACTCCGGTGAGGATGATGTGGGAATTCTCCACCTGGATGACGCGCTGGCCCAGTCTCACCAGGTAAGCCCCGATGCCGATGGCGCGACACGTCACCTGGCACAAACACGGGGATGCGCAGGATTACCGGGAATAATGGCAGGCACCACAAGAACGACCGTGCTTCCCATTGCTCCTCCAAGGGGAGCCTCCAAGCAAGCCCAGGAGCAGCGCCCTTTTCCAGGGAGGCTGGAGCGGGGCAGGGATCCGGAGGCCATACCATGCTGATGGTCACTATTTCTTCGTAAGCTCGAGAGGACTCCCCAGCGATGGTACCAGCAGCTCGCAGGTTTTCCACCCCAAATCCATTCTCTTTCCCGATGATGTCCATGAGGACGTACCTGCAAGGAAGGCAGAGGTGTGGACAAGTCAGCATGAGGCTGATGGAGGACGTGGGAGGCACAAGGCAAAATGCAGGAGCATCCTGGGCACGAACCAGGAGAGACGGCGCCCGCTCACCTGGACTCTCCCCCTTCCTCAACGTGCTCACAGTGCACCGAGTTCAGGGAGCTGATCCTCGTGTAATCCTGCGGAGTCAGGTACAGGTACCTGAACCCCTGGAAACGAACATGAGGAAGATAAGCTGCAGGATGAGCCATGCCAGGAAAGACACCTTGATTTGCACCGCCATGGAGCAAACGCTCCCTGCGGCACCGGCTACGCATGTGTGTTCACCCCCAGCACTGCCTGCCCTCAGCTGCTCCCAGTTCAGCTCTGGGCTTTCCCCACGTTAAGTCCTTCGTTACCTGCTGCGGGGAGAGGGTGCTCACGCACCTTGTAGGGGTCTGCAGGGTCCACCCAGGCCACGTGGAACATGTGCTTGATCTCGTCGGCGAAGCCGATGCGGGCGCCGCTGTTGGCGGCGATGTAGACGCGGGGGACGCCCTCGGCACGGGCCAGCTGCGAGGCGCGGAGGAAGAGCAGGTCCTCCTCGGGCCCGAAGGAGCCGATCTTGTGCGTGATGTCGTTGCAGATGAGCACCACGTCCCGGCCGGCCGGGTACTGGGGGGTCTTCAGCTTCATCTTGAAAGCAACCATCCCCACCTGGCCCAAACAGCACGAGGGCGGGTTTGCTCCAGGGAAATGGGATGGGAGCTGAACCAGCACCCGATTTCTACTTGAAGGGCATCCCCTGAGAGCCAAACACAGCTGCAGGGGGAAGGCATCGAGCACATCACCCCCTGCCCAGCACAGCTCCCCCCATCCACCCTCTGCCTCCATTCCCAGCTCATTTCCCACTACCTCGTTGCCTCCAGGGAGCCTGTTCATCTGCACCAGCTGCCCCTGGGAGTCCAGCACCAGCTCGGTGTAGGTCAGGATATCCTTGGGGTACACCTCTGTGGAGCCCCACAGCTTGAAGAGAGCCTGCAGAGACAGCGCCCGGGGGACAAGCTCCAAACACACGGCTTGCAGCAGCTCCCAACACCCAGATTCCCGCAGCAATGTGGGACCCCATGTGGACAAGAGGGGCTGGAGGCACCAGGAGCCCTCACCCTGCCGCACTCCCGCACCTGCACTCTGGCTCACATCATCCTTTAGCACAACTATGTCAGATTGCAAGACCTGGGAACCAGTTTAGAAGTCCTTCATGCAACCAAAACATGGTGCTTCAGTCTCACTGCGTTCCTTTTTTTTTTTTTTTTTTTTTTTTTCCCCCCCCCTTTTTTTTTTTTTTTTTTTTCTTTTTCCTCCCTTTTCTTTTCTCTTTAGCAGCTCAGAAGGGAGGGGCTTTTCAGCCCCAGTTGTCAAATCTGGGGCTGGATGGGTGGAAAAGGAAATTAAACAACTCGGGACCTCCTTGTGCTCAGAGCCTGGACTCACCTGCCGGATCATTTCTGGGAAGTCGTACACGTAGGTGGTGCCCAAGGACTGGGCCTGGAAGCGCTTGGCCTGGAGCAGGTCCTTGGTGACGTACGGCGTGTTGATGAGCATCCCGTGCTGCGGCCCTTGCTTGTCCCCGTACGACTGGAACATGATCTGCAAAGAGAGGCAGAGCATTGGGTCCCTTCTGCAGGATGTGGGCAAAGATCTCTGCAAGGTCAAGGTGCAAGAGCCTTGTGTGGCCCAAAGTGCTGGGTTGATCTGCACAGCCAAGATGCTCACGTCCATGGCTTTACCCAACCCAACATGGTTTTCCATCCCACATCCCAGACAGCGTGCAAACAATCACTGTGCTGGGCTAGGACACCCTGAGGCTGCCCCGCTGTCCCCAGGACCAAAAGGAGTCTGGTGACAGCAGCAGTGCTGGGGCACAGCCCCGCTCCAGGAGCAGAACATCGCTCCGAGGTGCCCAAGTGGTTACTGCACGCAAGGAGGTGAATTCGAGCAAGCCCTGGAAATGCTGCTGCACGGGGCCCGAGCTGCCCTCTCCAAGCTCTGGGGTGGATCAGGACAGCAGGCCTGGGGGGTTCTGCAGAGCTCCCCAAACACTTTGCTGGAGCTTGTGCTCGAATAGAGGGTCACCAGCTGATAAAGTGGGAGCGTTTCGGGGGTCGGGCACTTGATGCTGGGTCTCTGGCTACCGGCGTCCGTGCAGCACTCACGCTCCCCGTGCCGAGGTCCCTCACTTCCTTGTAGAGGCTGATGTCCAGGTAGTATCCGGACTCGTTGGTGATGAAGAGGCGGATGGGGATGGCCGTCGCGGTTGGCGTCAGCCGGATGTTGATCTTCACCTCGGCCTGCAGGACGCGGAGCTTCCAGAGGCGGCTGCCGTAGCGCATGACCATGGAGCGCACCGACTCCTCGATCTGCTCGCGGGAAGGACGGTGGCAGTGAGCCCTGTACCAGCAGGCTCAGGGCACGGTGCTCTCACCCAGAGCTCAATCCATCAACAGGGGCTGCCCTGGGCACGGAGGCATCGCCGAGGGGCAGGTGAGCCCCGCACCGCGCAGGGAAGCGGCACCACCGCGATCCTCACCTTGGTGGGGTCCATGACGACCGTCGGCACAAAGTTGAGGAAGATGTGGTTGCAGTCGGTGCGGACCGTCGTGTTGCTGAAGGCCACCTCCAGCTCGTCCATGGCTTCCAGCAGCAGCCGCTCGCCCTCGTTCTGCAGATACTCAAAGGAGGCCTCCTGCAGCGCATGGAGCATGAGGGAGCTCAGAAAAACTCCCATGCCCAAGGTGCAAACCCATCCATCAAAGCATCAGAGCGAGCAAACTCCCCCAGGAGCTGCCCAGCAGAGCAGTGGCACCCATGTTTCCACCGGGACCCCATGCCCCCTTGCCTTGGTGATGAGATCCGAGTGTCGCACGATGGCTCGAATGAAAAACCGGTAGTCGGTGGCCTCGGTGCCCGCCTGCACCTTGGCAGCGCCCAGGTAGAGGTGCATCTTGTGGTTGGCGCAGGGAATTGCCGTCAGGTCGAAGTTCCGCATGCGGCTCAGCTCCAGCTGGAAGGCCAGGGCCGGCTCCAGGTGCCGATAAATCCGGTCCTCGGCAAACTGTCCCCCAGTGGGGAGGAGTGAGCAAGGTGACACGGGGACAGACTCCACTTCCAGAATGGTTTTGGAGCTGATTATGTCTCTGGTCAGCAGCTCTTACCTCATCTCTTGCTCTGAAGGTAAAAAACTTTGGGAATTCTCTCTAGAACAAAAAGGGAAAGACAAGGGAGCCTTTTGTGAACCTTGGCATTGGACACACAGGGCCTCTTTCTGATCTTCAGTAAATTCACAAGAAGGGAAACCCTACAGGTTCCCTCCTTCCCCAAAACAGGAGGAAACTGGAAATAACACATGCCTTTTAAAGGCATCTGGAAGTTACGAAGCGTCAAAGCAGGAATTGCACATTGCTAAGGATGCCAGCAGCAAAAATCCTAATGCAGGAGCCAAGCAATCACTGGCTCCCTGTTAATTAGTTCCTCTCTTTTCCTCCTGATGTTTGGCTGCAGCTGTCCCTGAGGTCCATGTCTAAGGTACTTAAAGACATAAATACTGGCCGACTTTTAGGGACACTGAAGCACAGCAAGCGTAAAGTAACTCTGCACCTACTGACCTGCTGGGCAATTAAGAATGTGATTCTCCGCAAACCGTAGTCAACAAGGATGTTTTTCTACAAGGAAACAGAAGACAGTGTCATGGCATAGGAAAAACCCCCACCGGCCTCAAGGGAAAGGGGTCGAAGGTGCACAACAGACCTTGGACTGGGCGAAGGCTCTGAAGATGGGCACGAGCTTGTCGTCCTCCAGGTGGTCGGCCCATCTGAGCACGATGTTGAGGATGTGGATCGGCTCCTCTCGCACGTTCTAGCGGTGAAACCCCACAGTAAATCCTCATGTTTTGGCTCAGCAGCACTAGTGCTCTCCCGCGCCGGCCCGGGGAAGGTGGCAACAGCAGCTCACCCACCTTGGCATCCTCTTCCTCATAGACGGTGGCTCGTGCCTCGCTGAACAGGGAGCTCTCTAGAGGGGGGTCTGCGAAGCAGGAAATCACTTCGTCGAAGTTCCTGCCAGGATCCAAATCAAGGGGATGAGGGTGCTGACAAGTCAGCACATCCCTATCCATGTCATCCCAAAGGCAACGGCTCCAAGGACCCGCACTAAGAAACCATTCAGGGTCGTGTGGTCGTGTGCTGACTCAGCTGGATTCACTCAGCTCCCCCTCCTCCCTACCTGGTGAAATCCTCAAATCGGTCGAAGGCGACGATAGCCCCCATCCTCTGGCTCGGAGGAGCAAAGCCGCTGTCCATAAACAGCTCGGTGCTGTGCCGGGCCAGGTCTGGGTTGGAGATGCTGACGGGGACGGACATCCTGCACGAGGGAGCAAGGCGGCCGTCAGACACAGAGGGAGCTGGGCAGCCAGAGAACACCACTCGTTTTACAGAGCAAAAAGATGGGATTAGCTGCAGGAAATCCCTCTGCTGGGCTGGAAGGTCTCTGCTCTGCCAGCACCCTGTGCAGATTCACTCCTTACTGTGGTTACTAAACACCAACCATTTGTCTGCATTGACAGAGCTCTAAATGTGACAGCTTAGGCCAACGGGGCAGGCAGTGAGAGCTTCTAAAACTCAGAATTGAACACTGGCATTTACACGGACAACAGCCAGACTGATAGCATGGGACAGGCCAGCTGAGAGAGGCTTTAATTAAAGCCAGTCCAAGGGACTTTGTGCTCAGCCTGAGGAAGGTTTGTTTCCTCTGAAAGTGCTCCCATGCAGTGGAAAAATAAATTAACAGCTTTTCAAGAAGGACCAGGGCCATCGGCAAAGCTAAGGAACTGGCAGAAGGAGGTTCAAGACGTGTGTTGGCCTCTCCTACCTATTTGGGTGGGACGAGGGCAGCATGAACTGGAACTCCACCACGCAGGTGCCGTCCGAGAGCTGGCGGTGCTGCAGGCTGTTCAGCTCGTAGGCGATATAGCCCCGTCTCACGTACACCTGGAGAAGAGATGGGGAGGGAGGAGGGTGGAAAGCACAGCCCTCTCCTGCGATTCAGCCATCAGCCCTGCTGTGGCACAGTGGCCGTGGCCACCGTGTCCCACCTGGCTCCTCAAGCCTCACCTCCAGCGCGGCCATGCGCACCACCTGGTTGGCGTGGTAGAAGAAAACAGGAAGCACGTCGAAGATGGTGGTTTCCGAGAGGATCAGTTTCTAAGGGGAGAAAATGAAACTTAGGGACAGTCTGAAGTGGGAGCTCCCCACCCACACCCCATCACATCCGTGGTGAAATACTGTCCCGCTTGGGTTACCAGCCCCAGTGTGTGGACCAGAGTAAGTGACCAGCCCTTTGAGATACTTCTAAGAGCTCAGACCCAGTTTGCTGTGAGGAAACCTTATAAGATTCTACACAAGTTGGGGGACATCAACAACAAGCATCAGCATCCTCATCAGCAGTAGGGTGGTGCACCATCTCCTCTGGTCTGCATCCACACTAGCCAGCTAATGCTGCAAAACTTAAATGCTTTTCAAGCTTAACTAGAGTGCCTTGCAGACAGGCAACCCAAATGCCCTTCTGGAAAGCAAAGCGCCCTCCGTTGAAAATGCAAAGTTTCCAACCTTGAGGTTTTCCGGGCAGTACTCGTGTCCGTACATGTCGATGGCAGACAAGAATATGGACTCCACCTGGTTGTGCCTGAGCTCGTAGGAGGGCAGGTGGGAGGCGATGAGCACCTGCGAGGGGCAGAGGGCGTCTGGGACGCGCAGGGAGCCGCAGGGCCGGGGCCGAGCGCGGCGCTCGCTCACCTGCCGGGCGCGCAGGGCCACCTTGGCGTGCTCCGTCTTGCTGAGCTGCGTCAGCTCGTTGAGGATGGCGGTCAGCTCGTCGGTCAGCGTGGGGTCCCGGCCACACAGCTTGTCCTGAGAGGGCAGAGCCACCTGATCTTTGCCCTTCTCATAGAACAAAACCTGCCTGATGTGCCCAGCGCTGCACTGGGGCACGGAATGGGGAAGAAACCCACAGAAAATGTGCTGTTCTGAAAACTGAGCACAGAAGTGCAGTGCAGAAGAGGCAAAATAACGCTCTGCTACGGAAGCAGCCAAACGCATTGAGAGTAGGAGCTTGGAAACAAAACACAAGCCCTGGGAATGTATTAAACAAGGAAGCAAAACAGTTTATCAAGCACCTGCTAGTGCTAGCACAGATGCAAGGGGAGGCAGGCCTGAAACCGGCTCCTAGGGGGTTTGGACTAGATGGTCCCTTCCAACCTTAAGCATTCTATGATTCTATCCCAAACCCAGTACAGCAGCAAGCAAGGATTAAAGTGTGCTTTGGCTTACTTGCCTGCGAAGCAGAAGAAATAAGGACAGGCAGGCACGGCTTCTGAAAGCCTACGGTGCAGCAAGGACCCTAGAGCAAGCCTGCTGCACCATGCCTCGCAGTCCCTCAAGCAAGGGTGCAACATCCCATCCACCCTCCTCACCCAGGAGGCCACTCACACAACTTTTGCTTCTGCGACACCTCAAGGGGCCTCTGCTACTAAAGAGCAGGAGCCTGGGCAAAACAGGAGCCTTTGAGGACACTGCCTGCAGGGACACTTTCTGCAAGCCCTTATTTCTTGGCAGCTCTGGGCACGGGGCTCTCCTGCACCATCCACTCACAATTAACATAGTGACCAGCAGGTTCTTCTTGGCCACTTGGGCGTGCGAGAAGATGCACTCCAGCACGGGGGTCATGTTGGGCTTGCACTGCTCCCGCAGGCTGATGACGCACTTGTCGTAGTGAGCTGCGGCACAGAGCAGGCGCCGCGTCCGGACCCGCTCCCCCGCGGAGCGGAGCCGCGGCCCCGGCGCCCCGCACCTTGCTGGAACTGCATCTCCACTTGCAGGTACCGCCGCAGCAGGTCCAGCACAACCGACTTCATGTAGCCGCGGATGCCGCTGCGGTACCTGCGGGAAGCGGGAGCGTCTGACCGTGCCGGGGCTCCCTGCGCGGCGCAGGCGGCTCGACAGCAGCAGAGAGGCCACAATTAATGCTGGTTTCACAGACTGTGCCAAGTGAGACACAGCCCTGGCCCTGCTCGTACCTCTGCACCAGCTGCACGATGCTCTGCGTGTTCATGAAGAAGACCTCCCGCTCCGCCTTCCTCTGGAGCGTGGCCGCGTGGCTGTCCAGCACGTTTGCAATCTGCAAGATCCAGGGTGAAAACGGACACAGGAAAAGTCAGTGTGCAGGAATGTAGCAGCCTTGGGCAGTGGGCAGAGTTCAAAGAGAAGCTCTGGCCAGACCAATATTTAGGGGAAGCTGTGATTACGTTGGCAAGGACCCGAGGGTCCTCTTTGGAGCCCTCACCTGCTGGCTGGGGAAGCGGCAGAGCACGGACGTGATGTTACTGGCGTACTGCGCCATCACCTTCTTGATCGACTTCTCCACAGAAGGCGGGATCCTTCCCGAAATGCTCGTCATGATTTCCTGAAGCTCCAGGAGAGGCAGGGAGGGATCCCGCAGGGTATTCATCAGCTTGAGCACCCACTCCTTTACCTGCAGGACACAAAAGGCTGCACCCACCAACGCTCCCCAGGAAGCAGAGCAGCAGGTCTCGCTGTGCCAGCCAAGAAGCCAGGAAGACGAGACCACTAACCGCACCAACATGCCACTAAAAAGCGCCTTGGGACACAGGGGAGAAGCACCCCAAGGTGCCTACCTTGGCACTGAAGTAGGGCTCCGGCAGGCAGTAGCCGTTCATGACATTGTTGAGGTTGTCCAGCACGTTGCGCAGCACCTGGTGCAGCTTCTCCCCCATGATGGGCAGGGTCTGCTGCGGCGGGAGGCCTCCCGTGAACGGCTGGGCCTGCCCGAGATGCAGGGAGAGAAGAGGCACTCGTGAACGTCACTGAAACAAGCTGACCCTGAGCTTCACCAAAGCCAAACAAGTGTCAAGAAAGCTGCAGCTGTCTAGTGGCCGTGGAGAAAACAGCCTGCCTGGCTTCTGCTTTTGATGAACTGCAGAGGAAGCTCCTAAGGGTCAGCATTCACATTTCTGCCCAACACGAAAAAGATACAAGAGCTACAGATGTGAAGAGAACTAAAAGGAGCCCTGAAGTGGCTCCTCTTGCTGTTGAGCAAGCTTCTCCAGAGCCCTGCCAGTTCCTTGCACGCCTTGAGATGCCAAAGGAGCAAAATGCCTTGGGAGTAGAGGCAGGCAAGGGCCCTGAGGAGCAGAGAGGAGAAAGCAGCACGGCAACATGGTTCATTCCCTGCGGAAATACTCACAGGCTTCACTTTGGTGGGATCATCCAGCTGCAGCCGGGCTATGACGCAGCCTGCCTCCAGCAGCGCTCCTGGCCGCTTCACGTAGTGGAGGTGGCCAGACTCCTCTACTGACAGGGTCATCACTATTTTCATCACCTGCACGAGGGCGGAACACAAGTGAACACCACAGAGCGCCCTGGACACCACTGCTTCATTGCAGAAGTTAAATATTGGCAGGTTTCATTTTTAATCATGCAGTCGCCAGATTAAGGTCCAGGTGAATGGGGAGACTCTGGTTCTAGGACTTTGTGGGTTCCTCTGCACCTACCTCTATCTCTGCAAAAACATCCCCTTCCACAACGTGGCCCCCATCTTCCACTGTGTACTGCAGCAGCTTCCCTGCCGAGGGCGATCGCAGCACAGTCGGGTCTTTCTCTTTCTCGAAGTCACACGTTTTGTTCCCCACGGTAATTCGGTACCTTAAGGAGAGGGAAATTTCTGCCTGCTGGAGCAACTGGCCAACAGCTTGCAAAGGAGCTTGTAAGGGGACCCTGCCTGGCAAGCGAGTGCTCAGCGAGGGCGACCTACCTGTCGATCTCCTCCTTCATGTAGGTGGTGTAGCTGCTGCCGTTGTAGGAGAGCAGCAGGGGCGGCCCCTATCTCGATGTGGGTGCTGTTCATTATAACGACGTACGTCGTGAGCGACTGGCGGGCGACCTGCGAGCAACACCGAGGGCTGCAGAGAGCGGCCTTGGGCTGCATCTGCTGAGCTCTTTACTTAACAGCTGCCTTCGTGGTGAGGAGGACGTTATTTAAAGCTCAGCTAACTGGGTTTAAAAGGGAGAAAAGGGGATCTTATCAAACATGAGAACAAAGGCAACAGGATACATGAAAATGCCTGTCTGGTGCAAAAGGATAATCAAGCCAATTTTTACATTATGTATTTCTAAAGGGCAACTTCTTGCTCACTGCATTTTCCCAGCCTGTGGCATTTTTCCTTGTGCAAAGCATGCGCTGCCTGGGCCAGCACCGCAGCAAGCTTGGAGAGAGCACAAGGCAGCCTTTACCTGCAGAACGTACTTCACGCCCTCGTAGACGAGCTCCACGTCGACAATGTTGAGCAGGGAAGCTGCGGGCAGCACCTGCCCTCTGAAACGCAAGGGGAAGGTCAGGCACCACAAGAACTTGGAAGCATTTTTTGTTTGCCAGCGCAGGGAGCCAAGTGTGTCAGATGTCACAGCACGGCTCGAATGTGCTTGTGGCACTCAGAGCCAGGAGCCCTTTGGATCCGCCTGGGGCCATGCGGGGACGCTGCGGCGGTGACCACAGAGGGGAGCAGGTTTCATCTCTAAAGGACACAACATCTGCTTCTGGAAAAGGCACCCGGAGCCAGTCCAGACACTAAGAAAACAGCAGTGAACCGTGGGAGAGCCCCCAGCGGCCTCCAAGGCCAGAGGAATAACCTTGACGTTCTTGAGCACAAAAACAAACGCAGGCTGCAGTTGGGCAAGCTGCTTCCCTTGGAAAGCTCTATTTTCCTAGCTGCACAAAATTGTTTTTCCCCTCTATTAGATAAAGTGATATCTGAGACATCAAAATCTTGCTATTTACAGCAAATAACTTTACTTCTCTTTCTATTAAATTGCCTAGAGGTGCAGCCTGGCTCTGAACCTGGCATATGGGCACTGCCTCTTAAACTGTGAAGTGTTTTCAGCCTGGCCAGACAAGAAGGAGGAGGGAAGCAAGGTGACCCAGAGTGAGCAAGGTTTTAAGAACAAGAGTTAAGTCTGCAAGACACCAGCCGCTGGGAGCAACCCTTTAGGGCATCCCCTTGCACAGGGGGCAAAGGCAAGACCTGCCTTGGGTTAATAACCCGCCGTGCAGGCACCTTCCTGCGCCCTGCAAGCGCCTGTACCTCTCCAGCGAGTGCAGGAAATCAGTCATGCACGTCCTAAAAGCAGCATCGGCAACGTTCAGGGCGCCGCAGACAACCCCCAACATCGTGTCTGGCTTCTCAGCCTAGGGAAGGGGAGAATCAGGAGTAAGGAGGTTCCCTCACACAGACAGTGAGGCAATCCATGGGATGGGCAGAGGGAGAAGTCGAGAGGCCAGTTTCTCCCACCTGCACTTTCTCTGCAATCAGATGGTCCAGCCAGCCGGTATCTATCTCGTTGTTCTGGAAGCTCTCCGTCTCCAACACCTTAATGAGATACTCAACTGTGGTCCTGAAATCCCCGCGGATAGACAGCTCTTTCAGAGCTACCACCATGTTCCTTTTAAAGGAAAGAAACTCCATTGATCACAGAGCAGGTAGCATCTGGTTTCCACCACGGTGGCCAAGGGCTTTCCTGTACCCAACACACTCTGGCCTCTAACACTGTCTTCAGACACTTCAGATATTAATAAGACCTCCTGATTTCTACTCTCTATGCACTGCAGGTGCTACTCAGCTCCTCACGTGCCTTACTGAGCATTTCATTCTCAATTTAGCACTGATGCAGCAATAGGTTGTTACGCAGCAGTCAAAGGCTACGGTAAGAAGTCACACTCAGTTGGGTGATGATCATACCAGCCTTGGATGTCCTGATACCTGGATAGAACCCCTACAAATTGGGAAGGGGAAAGAGGGAAAAGACTGCTTGCAGGTTGAGCAAGATTCTCCAACTGTTTGGTTTGCAGGAATTTCTGGTTTACCCAGAAAAAAATGTTCTTCAACGTACTGTAAAGCCTTGACTTAATAAAACACAAACACCTAGGAGAGCAGATTGTGTGTTACTTGAGTTAATTCCTAAACGGATATCACATCTCAATGGTACTAAACATATGACTATCTTTAAGGGCAGTGTTTATTAACTGGGACATCACCCTCTTAGTGTGTGGTGAACACTTTGCCTTCAGCTAGACAGACTCTGCAACACAAACAAGCCGAGTACAGTGCAAAGGCAGTCGTGGTCCTTAGAGATAAAAGGGCAGGATTTTTTTTTTTTTGGCTCATACATCTACTAAAATGGGAAAATCTGGATCTTTCCACAGACAGTTGCTTTCAAGCCCATACTGCAACACTCACGATATGGCCTCTTCCCGATTCTCTCCCCATGAGAAGCAATGTCCAAACTGGGAGTCAGCAAACTCGTGCAGACCTCCGGCAGCGGCTACGCTGAAATAGCCCCAGACGTTCTTGCTGCTGCGGAAGTTCAGCTCCTGCACAGTCCCAGAGCTTGGCTTAAAACCCTAAACAAGCACACAGGACAGAGCAGAAGAAATTGAGAAAACAGGCTGGAGATTTTTGAGACTGAACTAGGGAAAAGGGAACCCTGTCTTTCTTAGCAGCCCGCATGCGAATTCCACTACTCCCATGGGTTTTGCCTGGGAATGGCAGTGTTGGGAATATTGTCTCCATGTGGAGGACTGTGCACCTCGACCCTGTGGATGACCCCAGGGTGCTGGGCAAAGCCCTGCCCGTCTCACCTCCTCGGGGTTCTCGCTGGTGATCCGCGTGGCGATGACGTGGCCTCTGGGCACGGGCGCGTTGGTGGGGCTGTTGAAGAAGATGCCCGTATCGCCCCACGGACACTCGCCGTACAGCACTCGGATGTCCTTTATCCTGTGCAAGGGGATGCCCATCGCAATCTGCACAAGTAACGAGCAGAACTTGGCACCAAAACCACGCCAGGCCACAACAACAGCTAGAGTGAAGAACAACAGGAGCAGAAGCAGCGGTGTGACAGCTCCTGCAGGTGAAGCAGGGATGCTGCGCTGCTTTTGCATCACGTTGCATATGAGAAAACTGGAAAAGCCTTCCTTCCCGGGAGGCAAACTCGGCCTCTCACTGCCGCAGTCACCCAAGCGTCGCGGCAGCGCGGTGGTACCTGCAGCTGGGCCGCCGGGAGGTTCACGTCGGCGATCATCTCCGTGCAGGGGTGTTCCACTTGCAAGCGGGGGTTCAGCTCCAGGAAATGGAAGCTGCCGTCTTCGCTGTAGAGGTACTCGACGGTGCCGGCGCTCACGTAGCCCACGGTCTGGGCCAGGCGGACGGCGCACTGCGAGCGGGACACGGCACCGCGCTGCAGCCCCGACCCGCCGCCACGAAGCCGGGGCCTTCCCGGGCGGACGGCAGTGCTGTCCCAGGACAGGGCGAGTGGGCACTTCGGGAGCAGGGGAGGGGACCACCGCAGCGTGTGCTCATGTGGCCAAGCAGGGCGGGGGGACCCCTGCTCGGCTCAGCCTCCTTCCCATCCCAGCAGCCATCTCACAGGATGGGAATGCTGCACAAGGAGGGATGGACTGTCTCCTATGCCAGGGGCTTACACAGAAACATAAGGGATGCACGTACACAGCATCCTGTCCTAGTGGTTTTCCTACCCTGCTGTCCAGAGCAGAGTCTCTATTTCCCTTCCTTAGGGGTCTCAGTGTTAAAACCCACCGTCAACCCAGCAAGGAACAGAGCAGTTTTCCACTAAAACCCAATGTTTTTCTCCCAGGTCCCCTCCAGGAGGCCCAGGCCACCCACCTGCTCCATGACCTCGATGACGGAGGGGGCGGCGATGGTGGTGGGCGCCTCCTCGATGATCTTCTGGTGCCGGCGCTGGATGGAGCAGTCGCGGCCGAAGAGGGAGATGGCGTTGCCGTACTCGTCGGCCAGGACCTGCACCTCCAGGTGCCGCGCGTGCTGCGCCAGCTTCATCAGGAAGACGGGCGAGCCGGGCGCCTCCGCCTCC